AAGTTTGTTTCATAGTTCCTATGAAACCTGCCCTTAATAGTAAGTAAAATATAATTACAGTAGCATTCTTCAAACATCTGTGTATGAATGGTGATTGCACTGAGCACGAGGGGCTGCGGCCACAGTTCAATGAGGTAGTAAAAGTGAAAACTGGCTCAATGATTTTGCCCTCTCCTCTGCCTCCTCGTGAGTTTTTGCCAAAGCAGATGACACACCGAGTTGTGCCATACAGCAAACTGGAGCACAGAATTGATCTGAATCAAAAGTACCTCCCCTGTTTTTTCCTTCAGACGCCACTGATGAAGGAAACTGGCAGCATTCACTTGGGATTACTATCCAAATGCCCACGTCCTTAGGCCATAGTCTGAAACTCTGATTTTGCACGTAGGAAACCTGGCATTTAGCAACAGAAATTCAAAGCCAAAGAGCCAGTCGCTCCAGACTGCATCTTCACAGATGACCCATCTCAGGTTCACTGCTAAGTTATCTTGCTGCCAAGTAAGTTTTCACTACAACAGTCTTCCAGTGCGGGAATTTAAGAACCTCCAAAATAGGAAAAGATAACCCAGAGGAAAAAAAAAATAAATGTAAAGACAAAACAAATCCAACTATTCTCAGCAATATCTTGGGGGGAAAGGAAATGGATGAAGGAAAATGTGGATAGCTCTTTACCTGATTTTATACAATCAGCATAGAAATGCTTTATCATCCCTTACAATACAAGCAACCCAACATTTTTAGTACTATATAGAAGCAAATATCTTTTTTGTACTAAAGAGAATTAATTTTGATCTATTTACTCTGTTTCCTCCATTCAGGCAACTGCTTAATACATTGATCTTCCACGCATTTCCATTTTCTCCACCAATACATTTCTTATAATTGGAATGTGCTCCTCTATTAAGCTTCTTAATAGATTCTATGTTCTCAAAACCCAATAACTTCAGGACAATACATTAAAATAGACAACAAATTAAGCTTGGTGTTTGCGAATGCGAGGTGCCATCAACAGTGACCTTTAAAGCTACAGGAAGGATGCTGCTTAAAATTGGTTGCAGAGAAACCAGCGCCTAATGTGTCTAATTGCATTAGTTTGTGTCAATGCTACAACACCCTGAGTCTCTTTGCAAGCAGTTTGTTGGTGGCCAGAAACAATTTACAGTCCTGATGTGAAGCAGCAATGGACATGTGCAGATGTCAACGAGTTCTCTTAGAGCTGTGGGTCCGTAGCGGTTGTGAAAATGACAGGACCTGTATTTAGCTGCATCACCTAGTACAGACACAGCCGAGTTTGAGTGATGCAGTCATGACTGGCCTTAGCTTTGTATATGCAAGCAACACTGAGCATTGCGCACAGCACAAAAGTATTTTGACAGTCTAACATAGTTATTTTAATTATATCAGTTGAATCCAATAACTATGTTGTGATATCACATTAACTTAGTTTGAAACACAGTGTGAATGGAGGTTTTATTTGCAAACGATTACAAAGATGTAATTCCATTTTAAAATAGCAAATTATATAAAATAATTCTCTCAACACTGCTTAGCCCTGGTATGGTTCCTACATCCTCCCCTAGCTATACAGCCAGCTACCTTCACATTTATTTTATACCATCTCTTAAGTCAGAGAGTTTTCCACCACAAGTAGAGAACAAGGTGACCTGACAACATGTGGGGCAAAGTCTTGAACGCACAATGAGCAGCTGGAGCCAGAGGATGGGGACGCCCAGACAGACACTTCGCAAACCACCGGAGCAGGTATTTGCCAGCTACCCACCCACAACCCAGCCTCTAGGACAGGGCATGAGACCCCAGCTGCCTCAGTATATATCCAGTATCCAGTATATATCACCAATTCCAGTTTGAAATCACACTGAAGTGACATGAGGAGTTAAGAGGTCTAATTATTGTATAATTAATCCAGGTAGTCAACCCAAAATGGAAAATATTCTTCATCTAGCTTTATGCTTCCTAGCTAAGGTTTTATTTAAAAAGCCAGCTCCTAGCTGCTCTTCACCTAGCATAGCCTTTGCTAGCCATTTGCACAGGCAGCGCTGTGGGTAACAGACCCCCGTCAGCAACACAACTGCCCTCTTGATTGTACCCCATCACCCCCTTGCATCTCATCTCTTTATAATTCTAATTCAAAACCACACATGGCCTGTTTCTTTGCAATTTTGGTTTCTCTCCCAAGTTACAGATTTCTGCAGCCTCATAGGTTGAGCCATTGCTGTTGAAATCCCCTCGCTCACAGGCAATTAGCATCCTCTCCTAGGTGAAATATTTTGGGATACAGTTCGTTTTGCACTACCCCGCCCGGGAGACCCACACAGTGCCTTCTACCAACAGATTACTCTTTTTTTTTTGTTGTTTTCCCCTTTAACATGGAAACCATTGTACAAAAGACTTTGCTTTTGTTACAGGTTTTAATGTTTGCCTAGGGCTTAATCACGAACAAGATTGCTAATTATTTGTACCTCCTGCAGCGCTGACTAGGTTTATCCGAGATAAGAACAGTTCAGCCCCTTGTTCCACCACCTGCCAGCACAAGACTGTTGCCAGCGATTCCCACCGATAAGTCAGGCTTTTTTTTTTTTTTTTTTTGCAGCTGATGAGGAAGAGTAAATATTGGCTTTAGGTTTCCAAGCAGGCAGTTTGCTTGGTGGCTGCAGCCAGGGACACAGCCCGCGGGGCAGCCCAGTGGCGGGAAACATGTTTCTAAGGACCGGGGGAGGGATGGGGGGTTCAAGTCATTTTGGGGGCTGCTTAACACAGTGCGAGGCCCTCGCTTTCTCCAAGGCCAGCAGCTTTTGATGGTGCAGCACGAGGGAGGTGTTGAACACAGCCAGCTCGACTGCCTCAGCGCTAACCACTGCCCTTCCCGATCCCAGGGGCAAAACTAAAACATTCAATGTTAAAAACAGGCCAAAAGCACGATTAGAGGTGACTGTTACTACTAAACCCAAGGGTTTATTTAGTCTTTCTGGACGAAAACACAAGTACCTTTGTTACCGGGACTCTGGTAGCTGTCTCTCAGACAGCATTGATGTCCCCCCCAGCTGTAGCACGGTTGTCATTTCCAGACAAATGCAGCAACCACCTCAGCCTGTCCTGTGCAGAGCTCCCCTCCGGCTGGAGCTGAGGGTTGACACCCACCTTCCCCGCACCCCCGCGGATCACAGCCCAGGAGCAATTAGCAAACATAGGGCCCGGTGCGAGGCCTCCTCGGGCCAAGGCAGAGCCAGGCATGCTGGGACAGTCCCTAAATTGGTTCTCTCTCATCAGTTTCCAAAATAAAGTCTGCTGGGACAGTGGCTAAGCTGGTTCTCTCTCATCAGTTTCCAAAATAAAGTCAGCACTGCAAGAGATTGCAAAACCTCTGCCTTTCTTTTAGCAGGGCTCACAACACACACCAGCTCCCATCTACAACCCACTGCATATTAAACTTTTTTTATTAAAAAATAAAAAAGTTAAATTTTACAAATTTTTTTCTTGTCTAGTCTTCACAGGTGAAACATTTTCATACTCAAGCTGGCTCTCTGACTGGTTCGCTCCACAACAAAACCAAGACTGAAGTTGTCCATTTCCCCATTTTCATCTTTGGCAGAGCTGTTATGAACAAACTAGAAAAATTATTTTTCATCACATATAAACAGCAGACATGAAACCTTAAGTAAAGGGCTGCAGTGGTAACTTCTCAGGTGCTCAAAAAACAACTACTTTTGTCACACACGAATACACGGAAGATGCTAACAACAGCACATAAAATGGAAGTTTGCTCACAACAGCATAAAAAATGGGATTAGTAAGAAACACTTCCTTGATGGTTTAGATTAGACCTAGCCTAGCACAATATGACAGAAGAGGAAACAACCCCACAGAACAAAGTCATGGTGGACCACCCTGTGCCACTCTGTGGGGCAAAAAAAAGCCAACAGCTTTGTTGTACATCTCTGAAGGCAGCAGCTGTCTATTCAGCAGAGAATCTTCAATTACTTAAGCATAAATCATGTTTTCATATTCACATGACCTCAACTGAATCTCATGGGGGGGGAAAAATTACTGACAAATTGAGTCAGGCTTCATCCTAATATCATATAGGCAAAGACAGATGTATTAGAATTTCAGTATCAGTACACAGAATATTGTGAGATTAATTAAGAAAATCCTGAAATGCTAAACATCCACAAAAAAAGTCTACAAACCCATTCAGCACAAAGCTTTTGTGTGAGGCAGCCTGATCCCACACGGGATCACCCATCTGAGATAGCAAATATTACTACAGTGTAATAATAATAATAATGAATTTTGGCTTGATAAAGAGTGAACTCATTCAGGAAGGAGACCAAGAAATTACTGATGTTATCTGAGCCACTGCCTGTTCAAAGATGAAGTATTAAAAATACGTATATCACGGTAACTATTTGACGCCATATATGGCATAAACAAAAGTAAATTCCACTGCTCTTCCAACAGGATGATTGTTCAAAGCCTCTTGTCATGCCAAGAAAGATTTCAACTCTCAGTTTAACATGACTGAAACAATCTATTACCTCTCCTTTCCATTCATCTTAAGAAAGTCTTAACACCATATCATCAAACCAAGCTGGCTGGACATAAGATGTTCCCAAAGGAAGCAAGTTACCCCATCTGTGCTTACCTCACAGAAAATCACAAAGTAGTTACACACATTTGGGAAGGGTCTGATACTGCTTGCCCAGAAAGTTGCAGTCATTGAGGGATCTATTGATAGTCTCACTGTGCCAAAACTGGTCAAGTAATAGATCTGGATGGAACACTATTTTGAAGATCTGCTTATTATCTGGTGAGAAGTGGAAAAAAAACTGAGATGCTTTCATGCAGGACCACATGATTTAAGCACAGGAGCAAGCTACTCTGGTGCCATCTGCTAGCGCATCAAAGCTAGAGAATCCAAAACTCCTGCCCAGGAACAGCTGATCTTCATGCCTTTTAATGGAAGACTTGCCAAGGCAAAATTTAGGCAATGGCTCAAAGTACTACAAACACAGAAGGACATTAAGAGACATCCGGAGAAGTTCTCTCTCCCAACAGAAGTCCACTAGTACTAAGACGAAACAACTTACAAACAATATTCCATAATTGACATTAAAATACTTTATTGGCTAGATAGAATGTGCAGTATGGATAGAAATATACTGAAATACAGAGTCCTCTGGAATATCATGTAGAAAATCCACAATCCATACTTCTTATTTATATACATTGCCATATTCAAGAGCTTGAGTAAGGTTATATTTGCATTTTTTTCTTCTCTTGAAAGCACGTCTAATGTAGTCCAAGGCCTTTTTGTTTCTTCAAAAGAAAATTGCACAGCTACCCTATTTCCTCATTTGGTCTAAAATCTGATGAGATTTTTACATATTCTTCTCTCCCTTGCTAGATCCTTTCAAGCTTGACTGCTGCCTCTTTTTCTCCCTTTGTCCCAGTATGCGATAGATTTTTTTCTTAGCCTCCTTTTGCCTCTTGAATTTCTGTTCATCCTCCTTCTGCTTAACTTTAAGATATTCTTTAAGCTGTTCCCGATGTTTTACTTTGGCTTTCTTTATCTTGTAATTATTCACTGTACTCAAAGCACTGAGTAGGGCTGATATCTAAAACAGAAAATAGATAATCAATGTACAAACAGTTCAGTTTTGGTGAGCAAGAAACAATTTAACCCCAGCACAGAGCCATATAATGAATCAAAGATTCAGGGCGAGTTCCTAATTATTTCTGCACCTGCTACCCAATTTCTAAAATGGCTTAATCATTTATCTTTGTTAATCAAAGGCTTAATTTTTGTGAACTCTGATTTTTGGTTAGATACTATTTAAAATGCTATGCCTAATTGCTACTATAGAACACTTAAACTGAAGTTTGGATCTTCTTTTGCCTTTGCAAGCACTCAGTAATTCTCCGTTTTTGAAGCAGAGTATTTGCTTCAAGTCCTGGCTTTGTTAATAATGCATAGCAATGACAAGTCAAATAAAAGACCACAGCTGCCAATTTAAGTCACCCATGATGCAAGAGCACTACATCCAACTGAAATACCTTGCAAGTCCTGTGACAAGGACAAAAGTCCTATTCAGGCTTCAGGTGACCTACTAGTTTAAAAAACAGACACAGTCCACTCAGAGCCAGTTCCATATATGTACTGCATGCCAAACAGGAACAAAACAAATTGCAAGTGATTATTTTTCACTAGGAGCATATAGGTCTTTAGCACTAGCAGTAGATTCAAGTGCTAAAACAATAGTTAGAAATGGTCTAAGTGACACATTTACCCTTCAGGAGTCCTTGTTTCAGAGTAAGTGATAATTACCTTCTTTTCATGAGGCTCCCTGATAACAGCTGGTCTCCACTGGTCTTTTGGAGTCTTGCCTTTCTTCTCAAAATTCTTCGGCTTGTTCTTAAAAGGCAGTGCCTTTTGCAGTGCTTTAGGAATGTGGAGCTTATTGAAATGCCTTTTCTCTCTCACAATAGGCTAAAAGAATTGATATAGAACATATGTAAGATTCATGTTCTTAAAAAGCTTTATTTTCCATCTTTCAGGAAAGAAAAAAAAAAAAACCCCAAAACACAACAAACAAAACCAAAACCCACCACTCAAAAAACGTTCTTCAACATCCTTGCACCGAACCGTGAACAGCATGTTCATCCCTATTTTACTATGACAGAGGTCTCGGTAAGCTTTTGGAGAAGGCTCCTCCCCAGAAAATTACTTTATAAACTCTCATAGACCCACAACAATCTGCTTTCCACTGCTTTATTCCCGTCTCATACCAGAAAAGACTGTGCCTTTTAGATAAAAATATGAAGTCACACATGCATATGTATGAGCAGGTATTTACACTACATTCAGTCTGCACAGGTCTGAGGCAGAGTGCAAATTTGACTGTGATCCCTAGTTTAAAAAAAAAAAAAAAAAAAAAAAGACATTAAATATACCTTATAGAGAGAATCTTTGTTTTGTTTCAGTTTGATGCCTCGCTCATGCCTCAGCTGGCCTGTTGTCTTCATTCCACTCCAACTATCCTTCTCACCAGCTGGCTTCAGCAGGGATGTTACAGGGTTATAAAACATTGGGATAGAAACAGGATACCAAGTCCTCACAAAGACAATATCTGAAAGAAAAGGAAATGTTACTTTGCTCTATAACAACATAGTTCATCACATCCACACTCTAAGCAAAGATTACCTGAAGAGACATCTAGACCACATGCTAGTACTGTGTGTAGTGTATATACACCAAACCTCTTCAACGTTAGGCAAAAGCAATGAAACTATTTGTATACTTGGATTCTGCAAAACCCCATGAAGTCATAAACAGTAGATACTCCCAAAGAGCAGCCAGCTGAATACTACCCTATTCACTATTTAGATTCAGTTAAAGAATTAGCAACAGAGTTCATATATGTATCTGTGCCTCTACTATTACTGACAAAAACCATTTGCTTTTCCTCTGCCTATTTTTATAAACTAACTCCCTCTTTTATTTTGCACTACCCATAATTTCTATGGGTTTAGGAAAACAGAGGTCATATAAGCCCAAATAAGCATAAACTCATGTTCTCAATATCACGGTGACACTCAAACACAGGAGATCACTTACCCCTGTCCCCTGCATAATTCTCCCAAAAGGCTAGGGAAAAAAGTTAACTAGTGTTACAATGCCACTCTGGATTTCTCAGGAAAATGTCCTTCTAGCACTTGCACCACTGAATACATTCATTTTCACATTCAAGGAGAAGAGCATACCATGCTGCGTAAAACACTTTAAAACACTCAGAGAAACGGGTCTGCAAGACAAACCTTTTCATCTGCTTACTACATGACTTCTGAGTACAACTGAAAGAAATCCAATAAAAAAATGTACTTTTTAAAAATTTCATTCTGCATCTCACCAGATATTTCATGCTCTTTGAATTCACATCTCAATTATCAGATTCCAGAGATTCTGAGACACAGCTTTTTAATCTGTGAAGCGGGATGAAAGTTGTGTGATAACTTACATGGAAAGCGCAACTTACCACTCATCAGCAACTTGTCTTCAAATGTTGCTCTGAAAGCACCTACTGGTGTTCGGAGGGCCTTTTTGATCTGTCCTCGGATACCACTCACAGTACGAATCGCTGCACCTTCAAATTTAGCCACTTCCAACTGAGAGTTAAACATTCCCTGAAAGTGTAAATTACCCACCATCATTCAAGATGCTAAGTCTCTCTCTGTGACCTATGTAGGCCACAAAAAGATAAGTAATTCCCACAAGCGTATCTTAAATAGGAAGAACATAACATTGTCTTTATACTAACAGTGCTGATCATATCAAAAACCTACTGAGCTGACTTTAAGGTAAGCTACTAAAAGCTATCTACTTAAGAGTCATATACCACAGGCAAGGCTTCTTAGCATTAAATATAGGCATTTAAACTTCTAAACCAGAACATACACATTTAAGAGAGTCTGTTCAGTTCTCTTTTAAAGTCATTTTCTGGAACACAGCATACCTTAAAAAGCAAGTAGGATGTCTTAAGTTTAAGGCTAGCTGTGAGACTAATACAATACAGGTCTCCAAGGTTTCTGCTTCTTTCATAAGTCACAAGGAACTCAGGAAAAATTCTGTGTATGCTTAGCGCGAATACTTGAGCGCTTCACTGTTGGGATCAGCGCTTAGCTGCTTACTGCCCCAAATGCAGAATAACCTAACCTCTTCCTGAGCCTGAAAGCCCAACTAAGAACAACTGGAACATCAATGAAATTCACTTCTGCAACACTTCCTGCCCCAAACACTTTTGCAACTGTAATCGTAAAGTCCTAAACACTGCTAGAAGTCATCTTTGATCCCAGAGCTGAAATGCAGTGGGTTCAAACTGCCTGTTCACATTTTCCAGAGGTGTCTGCCACTGTGGAAAGCTAATCAGTGGGTTTGAGGAAGGAAGGGACGGGAAGGGGAGCCCAGAATATGAGCCAGGAGACTGCTGCAGAATTTTTGTCTGGTTAACAATAATTCTTATTCACTGGCTAACAATCAGAGACCACACTGAAGAGAGCTCAAAAAACCCCAAGCAGCTACTGAGATCCAGAACACCACTATGCAACAACTACAGCAAACTTCTGCCTCAGGGAAGACAGATAGAGTCCAGGCTGCATTCCTTCCTAACATCAGAACATGTGGTTTTACAGTATACATACCTACCTTAATAAAAGAAGTGTTCTTAAAAATTTTGAATGGAAAACCGGTTAGCTTTAATTTCTTAACAATAGTTATGGATTTATCTAAATCGAGCACAACTCCTGTCGCAGCAATCCGGAAATCAGGCTGAAACATACAGAGATGAAAGACACTGCTGAGCGGATATTTACCGAACAGTGAAGAAATCACTTCGCTGGTACAGTTTCACTGCTTTTTAGAGTTTGAGTTCAGAATTTATAACCTTTACAGGAGTACAGCAGCATAACAAATGCAAATTGACTTCGTACAGACTAGTTGAGGTGCTGCTGACATAACTTTCCTACCATTCACTAATGATATTTTCAAAACTGCCATTCTAATTACCTTGGAAGCAATCTTAAGGGTCCTTGTTATCTACCTCACTGTGTTCTCTTTATGAAACAGAATCTTACTCAGACAGAAAGTCTCAAAGGAAAAGTGCTTCGTGCACTGCTGTAAGTCACTGTATTATGCTAGGGACACATGATAAAATAGCCTTTTAATACATAAAACAAAATGACTGTGCAACAGTACTTAAACAAGGAGTATAGAAAGAGATAATAATCACCACTGATTACTGTCATGCTCATTACAATGCCATACAAAGCTTTCATTATATGTTGTATGTAAATATAAATCTACCCTTGAATAAAATATAAGCAAAGATCATATTTGATAAATACTGCTTTAACACTTTAAATTAATTCAAATACCCATAAACATTCTAACAAGATGCAGAGAAATCACACTGAGGACAAACTTTTTCAACAGAAACATCAGTATCTCATCCTGTAAAAATGTTTTAAAAGTTATCGAAATACTTAGCACCTGAAAAGCAAGTAGGTATAAAAAATACAAAGCAGTATTAGTCATTTTCAGCGTAGCAGCGTAAAATTGTCCAAACAAAAAAGCCTCCATCTAGTTTCCTACCTCACCACAATACACCTTTCAAAAGTTTGGGTCCACCTACTTTCTCAGTTCCTACAACGTCACTACTTTATCATACATGAACACAGAATCAAAGAACGGTGATCTTCCCCAAATCTGTGTAAAATATCCAAACACCCATGGAAACCAGTGATCAACATTTTGCGATAACAGACCTACCGTTGTGCCACTGACAGATTGAACTGCCAAAAATCCTGTCCCCTGAGGAGTGATGGGCCCTACAAGAAAATTAAGTTAAAAAATTTATTACTACGTAACATCTAGCCTCTACTTAAAGTTGTAAAGCTTAGAAATATGTGCTAAATATTTTCAATGAACAAAACCAAAGAAAAGTTTAAAACATTCAACCCACTACTCACATATAGAGCCCCATGAAAGTTAAAGGAATGGTTAACAAGAAGTTACTCATGTACGGAAGCATTTGCAGGGCTGGGCTCATAATGTGTGCAAGTGTCTCCTGCACACAGCCGACAAGTCAGGTTCCTCTTTGATATGGTACAACCTAGCAGAATGCTCAGAATTTGATTACAAGCCAAATAATTCACAAAAAAATAGGCAATTGCCTGTTTTCCCATACTATTTGGCATTATTTTACATTCCAAGGGGAACATAATTTTTTTAAGACTTCTCATTCCAACAGCTGTTGGCTGTACTTCCTGATACATCCTGTAAAGCTTGAGAATTTTTATAATGAGTAAGTGGTACGGGATAGTAACTCCAGGATGCCCTCACCCCAAAAAGTTGCTCCACAATGCATATGTTGTGGTGTGTACTTCAGAAGCCTGTGACGTCCATTGTGATCTTCAATGTAGAACATGGGGATAGTCTGAAATCGCCTCCATCCTAATGAGAGGATTAAAGGATCACGTGTCTTAAGTATCTTCTTATACCATCGGTGCTTCTTCAGGCGCAACTAATTAGAAGAGAAGATGAACAATGCTATTACAGGATAATATTTCCTGAAATACAAGCCTTAATTTTCAGGAATGATTGAAAGCAACTTCCATCTACACTAGAATTTTTTATTCAGTAAGCTCTGTATCTTCAAACATTCTCATTAACACTAGGTTGACTGGAAAGATAAAGCTAATCAGTATTTCACTCACTCTAAAGTCATGTTTGCATGCATGCAAGCAAGTATTATATTAAAAAAACCCCTCATATATATATATATATATGCTAGTAACTCTTCTATAGCCACCTGTCCATTGACTATGAACCTCAGAGCACAGCTTACGTTTGCAATTTAGCAATCACAGTATCAGACCTCAGTCCTGAGAGATCTCTGCAGATGAACAAGAAACAACAGTAACTTCTTCTTCCAGTGATCCAGTTAAGCCTGCAAAAATCCAGTGTCTGCTACTATAGAGTTAATTGTGTTAAAAGCAAATCCCCTATTCAAGGGACAGAGATGAAGGTTTCTCTCTGTGCTTACTGTATCTTTAATAAACAGAAAATAAATAATAACTCCAGACACACTGAAACACACCTGTACTGATATAAAGTACATTCGCGGCTTTGGCTACATACCTGTACATATCCGACATTTCCTTCACTGTTGCCTAAGCCACCAAGGATAATAGGATAATGAGGGTCAAAATTCAGGACAAATTCGCATGGGACATTCTCAATCTCTATTCGAACATACATCCCAGGCCGGAAGCCCTCATACTGCACCCTGGTCTCATCATCTTGATCTTCAAATTCCGCTCGATTAAGCTATGTGACAAAGAGAAAGTCACCCTGTGTTTTACAAAATTCAGGTATTAACAACTTGTTCGTGAGGTGCCAGTTCTATTTAAAACATGCTAACATTTATATAAATCTTTTGGGAAAGATCTGATAGGTTTTGTGAATTTTTTACTCAGAGCAAGATCTCTGCCACCATGAATTCCTTCCAATTTGAAATCCCAAGTGGGCCTGTTAGTCTACTTGAAAGACAGTACCCAAGAGAAGCAAATGACTGAGTGACTTCTGATATACCTTTCATAATGGTGACTTCAGATTTTAAAGTTGTCAAAAGTACACTTTTGATTTAGGAGCCCAAGTACCTTTTAAAGTTCAAGTCCTGATCTTTAAGGTGTCACTTTATGAGGAGGCTGGGCTCCTATCTCACTCAGCAGCTTAAAAGGTATTTCTGTGCATCCTCACACTGTGTATCATCAAAAGGGTCTTTTAAAGCTCTTCTGTACCATATGAATGTAGATTCTGTGTACTTAACAAGATATCCTTGAGAATAACAGAAGCCTCACCCTCCTGTTCTAGCTCCTGATGTTCAGCTACCTATAAGATGCCATGTTTAAGCAAACTAATTATTGATTTCATTTCTCAAGGTATTGAGATCTGGCACAAATCTTCTGGTCCAAGTTTACTTTTCTAGAAGCCTTTACACACTCCATTTGAGATCCTTCCCTTTCCATCCTGCAGCAGAAATATTGCTGGTATGTATTTCTGCCACAGACCCCAAAGTGAAACAGTTGTAAATTGTCTCGTATTCTTCTACTGGAATGTCCTTTACGCTTAAGTGCTCTTAGTACCAGAGCTTATACAATCACTTACGACAAAGGCTAATGCGAAAAGGTAACAATTAATTTAATGACTATTTAGGGCAAGATTTTGTCAGAAGACAGTGAAGTTATTAGCAATGTAAGGCAATGTTTTTCCAAGTCAGCCAAAGAAAGAAGCTACTTCTAAGCTTACAAGATTTTATCTAAAAAAAACAAGGCCTGGAACAAAATCAACACCTCCAATTCTGGATACAGTTACCTACCACATGTAGAGAGCAACAGTCATCAATTATTTTTTCCTCAGAATAACTTGAGAGTTTGATGAAAAAGACTGCCACACAGAACTTACTTACCCCTTAATAACATTGCAAAAAATCACACTAAAAATAATACCAGGAAAACATTTGACACAAATTAGTACAAGAAAGATTTTCACCTTCCTACACATAAAATGATGCCCTTCTCCCTCCCTCCTCCTGGAGGGGAACTTTCTCTCTCATGTTTTAGGGGTTTTTTTGAGACCTGTCGTGCTAGTTCCACCACTAAGGAACAAATGGATAACTGTTAAAACTTTTAAGTAGCTATAGTTTAGATGACACATCCTGACTTAGTCAGTGATTTAGAATATGGTTAACTACTAAAGTCAATTTCGATTAAGCTTTCAGTTGTTTGGCTTGTTTGCTCATTTTTCTTCCTAGCTAATGCAATCAAAAAGTTCAACCATAAAAAAAATCACAAGCATGTATTTCTTTGTGTGTGCTTTCTGAAGTAGCTCCTGAACATCAAATGTTTCTCCAGGAAAAAACCTTTGGGCAAACTCTGTGGGGTATTTTTGAAGACGTATAGCCAGATAAATTCTTAAGTTAATGGCTTACCTGTGCTTGTCTATGCATTTCTTCTTTAAGATCATCAAAGTACGTGGTATCCCCTTCATCATATTCTGCATCAAACATTTCTTTCAGTTTCCGTTTCTTGTCCATGCGCTCCTTTTTCTTTTCCTCCTCCTCAGGTTGTGGTTTGGACATTTTTCCATCTTCGTCCTCTTCTTCACTTGAAGACTAATCAACAGTAAGTTATCAAAGATGTAGAACAGTTAACTGAAAACAACTCATTCTGATTAACAGCTTAATATATATTGTTAAGTAATATTTCTTCATAATGCAATTAGACACTTTATAAACATTTCAGGTTTAGACAGAAATTAGTAAGTTATTCATACAAGAAGAGGTAACTTCTGCAGCGACCAAAACATTTCATGATCTAATCATATCCCTTTTCATTGAGAAAACTTCTTAACGTTTATTTTAATGTCAGGGAACAGACCCTAGGATTGACCTATCTGTTATTCTACAGCTAGAATAAGCACACATAATGAAAGAGGAAAAAAAAGTAATTGTTGACAGCGTTGAGCACCGGAAGGCAGCACTCCAGAGGCCGGAGAGGAGGAAGTTTGTTCACAGACCATTTGAAAACTGCCAAAAAGATGTCAATACCCTCAATTTTACAATGAAATACAAAACCATCAAGTTGCTCAGTCCAAAAAAAAAATAATTTGATTTTCCATCTGTATTGTCACAACTACAGCTTTGTTCTTGGAAGATATCCAAGTCGCAGCATAAAATTGCTTTCACCAGACTCTTTTATGCAGATAAGAGGAATGGCTAGGAAACTCTGTCAGTTCCACAATTTGTTGTGTTTAAACACAGCTCTATAACCTTCCACATCAGATGAAATGACATAGCACAAACAGTTATGATCATATTTGGTTTTAAAATACTTCTCTCATACCTCCAGATGCTCCAGCTCTTGATTAAGCCTGACACCTACTGTTAAGTGAGTGATGCGACTTCTCCTACACAATTAACTTCTAATGACAATCCAGTTCGAGACTAAAAACATGCCATTCTAGATATTTATAGGTTCCACAGTCCACAATACATACACCTTTTCTTCTTGTTCCCACTGATTTCTTTCCTATCAATTCATGAAAACTGAATTTATTACACAGGACGCCCAACACTTGATTAGAAACTCATATACATGTATGTTGCTAAGGAACATAAAAATACAGGTCAGACCTCATCTTCAGAAGTAGGCTTTCCTTTGTGCACAACACCAGTTTCAAGATCTTCAAAATCTCCATATAGTTCTTCTGCAATAATAAGCACCCAAGATATCCGAGTTAACCATTCTGTTATATTGCAGTTAACCATTCTGTTGTATTGTTCCATACAATTTCTCATATTTTCAGTATTGTGTTCTTCTCAGCACTGCTTTGTAGATTAGTTTCAGCCCAAATATTTTTCCTTCTCATTAACAGTTTTATAAGCCTATTCTGCCCTCTCTATAGTTTCAGCTGAAAATTCTCAGCTGAACTCCAGCAGCTCCTCCTTTTTCCTCTCAATACCTTTAACTTTATGATCTCAAAAATGTAAATAAAGTTTAGATAATCCCATAGGACCACAAAGCACATTAGTTAGCATTCTAGTGACACAAGATACCAGCAGAGCAATCGAGCTCCTGGCCTTAATTTTAAAAAATAAAACTAACTTAAAAATTAATTACAGCAGACAATTTTTAAGTTAAAAACAAATGCTTATAGAAGCCTGTCAAACCACCATCATTTTGCATATGATACAGCTAAATTATTTAAATTTTCTAAGTATTTCCTAATTAAAAAAAAAACCAAACAAAACCAACACCTCCAGAACATCTGAGGTTGGATCTCACTTTTCAGCAAGATGTGAATGACCAGTTTGCCTTCCCATTAAAAAGGAATTTCTGCTTATTTCTACTGAGACTAGCCAAAAGAATAAACCATACATAGAGGATGAAAAGCTAAACTCAGGTATGTAACTCAAAGTTGGCATGGCCAAGTGTTCACTAAGGACTCCGTTTCCTAATTCAAATGTATACCCTCTTTTTCAGAGTAAATTTTCGGAATGTATTACTTGCCTACTGTTTGTACAGAGATTTACAGCAATGTTTAATTATATTAGTATAATATATTATGCAACAGTTTGAAAAAATTTGCAAGTGTATCACTAATGCAAAACATTCTACATATGTAACTACAGTCACACTTTTCTTAAAAATACTGTACACATTGACCATTTTTAGAAGTCTTACACATACCATCTTCCTCCAACAACTTTGCTGCATCTTTATCATCTTCCCACTTTCCAGTAACAAAGCAGTCTCGAATACTGCTCATAACCTGCAATATAAGTGTCATTGCTTTGTACAGTTACAGGTTATCAACAGAAACATTCTCCAATATGTTCCCCACTCTTCCATCAGAGATGTCACCTCTGAGATAATCTGATATTCTCACATACAACTCCACATCAAGACATCATTACCAAAACCACACAATGCTTCAGCAAAAGGACAAATATGACGCCAGCTCAACTCTTGCCCAAAGGTCTTTACGCTAACAAGGTCTCTACGCTACATCATATTTTCACTCATGATTCCCCTGCTTTTTACTTTTCAGCAAATAAATAGCAAACTACGATCCACCAAACAGTCAAGAGAGGCAAGCATTACATTGACTTATTCCAACTTTCCACTCCTGTAAGAACAGACCTTGGAACCTGTTAGCTAGTAAATACTTCTAACAACAGCGAGTAGCAGAAGATACTGGCTGTAGCTCCCATAGGTCTGTTTCAATGACAGCTCAGTAGCACTTTATGAGACACAGACAGGACATAATCAGTACAGGATATGCAGAAGCAATGACCCAATGGTATTACCTCTTCTAAATTCCAATCTTGCGGCTTCTCTATCAGAAATTTGGAGCAGTCAAGAGCATTAGCCTTCTGTTTGGATGCTTTGTCTGGACGGCTGACACGAAACAAACCTCCAAGTTCATCACCTGCATCCTCACTCTCATGGTCCTCGTCCTCAACAGCTAAATGAAACATACAAGCTGTGATTATTTCCCCCACAGTACATGGATTGCATTCATTAACAACCTCTCTTCTGCCTTATGTTTCACAATACCTGCAGTAGTTTGAGGAAAAACAAGACGCAAACTAAAAATAGTTTTAAATACAGGAGACTGAACAAAAAGGTACACTGATCCAGCGTAAGAGTTAAATTAATACTCTCACAAGGACAAAATAAGGTGAGCAGCAATCAGGGAGATACTATATATACTGTAATCACAATGAACTTCAGTCGTACAGTTGTTCCATACGGAAAGATGCAATTCCTTTCACAAATTCCATATAGTTCAAATTTCTTTGAACAACCTGAAATCTGGTTCTATTTGTATAACTGGAATCATCTGAAAAAATATTGCCCAATAAGTAAACACAGGATGCTCATTCAATATCATAAGTAGAAACAATACAAAATAATCTGTACATAGAAATGACATTAAGCTAGTCTGTAAATCAAGAATGCCAGACTTGAGAGTCTGCCAGCAAATCTTCCCCTTCCTGCACTGTGGAAGGTTTACAAAAGCCAAATTCTCGTTGTGTTCTACAGAGGTTCTGCATGATGAGGTTTGTACACTCAGACAACTACTGGAAAAATTGTGAATTAAACAGGACAAATTACATAAATAGCAATTTTATCTTCCTTTTAAGCCAGACAGCTTTTTTTTCTCTCCTCGACAAACACCCTTATTACAGACATGATAACACAAAGTCACATCTAAGAGAATATTCCACTCTCAGTCACTGAGACAGAAATCCCTGAAAACAGCCAACAAACGACATCCCTATATGAAACACATCAATTACCACAATGGATTTACATAATACCTACCAGAAAATTATATAAATGAACAAACTTTAAATGCTTGGTGGGGAGATAGTTGCACCAGAAAACATAAGTAACAATTGAGTAGCCTGAAAAATGAGCTCAAAATGCTTTTTATTGGAAAAGTAAAAACTGTTTTTATTACAATTATTACTGCAAACTAGTATCAGTAATTTAAAAAGTCAATTAAATCTCCTCAATCCTCCCACCTAAAGACAGCGCTCAAAGACTCAGAAGACTTGAAACTTGGCAACAGCTAAAAAGCTACCATATACTATGATAATAAAAGTTTCCAAACAGATTTTGTACCTGTTCCATATACGAGTTTACGAAGATTAGGGGTTGAACGTTGCTGTCTTAGAAAGGCCTCAGCTGCCTTCTGTGTAAGGTCCTCTTTCCACTTAAGTGCACCTGAAAAGGGAAAAAAATTGCAATTCTACCTCCAAAAACCAGCAAGAATTAGGAGCTACACACGTAATTTAAATAAGGACATAAACACAACAGGCTTAAGAAGTGTAGACACAACCCACAGTTTCTTTCTTCCATACTCCATATATACACAGAAACATAAATTGTGGCTAACAAATTATATCACTGATTCTTTTTCCGATCAGTCCTAAATCTAGGACAAAATTTTAAGATATTTGATTATTTTCATGATGATACGTGTCTTCTTCACAGACTCACAGAATGGTTGAGGTTGGAAGGGACTTCTGGAGGTCATCTTGTGCAGCCCCGCTGCTCAAGCAGGGTCACCTAGAGCAGGCTGCCCAGCACTATGTCCAGACTGCTTTTGAATATCTCCAAGGACGGAGATTCCACAAATTCTCTGGGCAACCTGTTCCAGTGCTCAGTGAGTAGTTAATATGTTATTTTAGTAACGTTCCCCCAAGAATGTTTTATTTTTCCTAAATGTAACAGAGCATCATAATTTGTTTTACACACATAGCCAGAGAGATTAAAGTTAGAGAGCAATGTATGCAGAATCACTGAAGTTTATAAAATGAATCACTTCCATTTTAGAGTAAGGAAACCCAAGACCTGTATACTACATTGCAAATCAAAGGCTTAATAGCAGATAATCCCAGGTTTCCCACCTTGAAGTTTGCCACTGAACAACGATATATATATTGGAGGGGCAACATTATATAATATTTACTAATTATAATATCCTTTAACAACTAACCCAATTAAAAATGGATGGTAAAAACGTTTAACATTTAAAATCTACCTGTTGTGTCAGCAGAAAAATCTATTTTTTCTTCATATTCCTCTTCCTCTCTCAGTAGATTCTCCACATCATCATCCTCAGCTTCTACAGCTTTAAGTTCAGCCTGTCTAATACTGCCAGATTTCTTTGCTTGAGCGTGCCCAAATCCTTTGCTATTTGACTCTTCAACTTCTAATTCATCATGTGATCCTTCTACATCATCACCCTCTTCAAGGGAAGAGTTTTCAACCTCAGATTCTGATGCCTCTTCTGCTGTGCAGTTTCCTGAATCTGTAATGAGCACTGCTTTTCTTTTCAGACCGTGATCTGAGGTTTGTGATCTCATTTCTGTATCTTTACTATTTATTTCATACCGCTTAGATTCAGCTACTCTTTTGCCTGTAGCCTCAAATTCACTATCTGAGCTTTCATTTTCATAAGTCCTTTCCTCCTCCTCCTCCTCCTCATCTTCCTCCATCTCATTCTCTTCAAGGGCCATTTTTCCTTCTTCTTCAGAACTCATCTCGAGATCATCATCACTGTCTGCAAATGCTGGCAGTTCATTCACAGCTTCTTCTTTAGCCACCTCTGTTTTCAGACGTTTGGCTCTCCCAAGAGCTATCTCTTCCCCTAATAGCTCTCTGTCACTTTCTTCCTCAGAGTCATCGTCTTCATCACCATCACTTCCATCCTCAGACACTGGTTGTTCTTCATCATCATCTTCCTCATCACTTACTGCATCATTATTTTCTTTCTCTTCATCTCCAAATAATGCTTTCCGACGTACTCTTCCAGACTTCAAATCAATCTGTCTCTCTTCTTTTGGCATCACAAACCTGTTTTCCCAAAGATGACATTTGGGGTAAGATGGTAAAGTGCAAGGAAATTGTAATGAAACAATGAAGCTTCATGGTTTTTTAAATTTTAAAAACAGAGTGAGGTTATGGAGAACACTAAAAAGGCAATTGAGTTCTTTATGTACAGAATGCTTCTTAATTCAAGAATACACCTTCTGTTATAGCCATAAATGATTCCAAGAAATTTCTTCATTTTCCATGGAATTAAAATAGGTTATACAATGAATTTTACTGAAGATTATGACTGCCATTCTACAAAACTCTGAAGAAAACCAGAAATATGTTACTCAGGGCTATATCAACAAGGAATTCTTGGAAGGCAGGACAATTCTGCTTGCAAAACTTTTCTACTATCAATTATTCCTATCTCAAAATACACATGTGGCATATGAATAGTCTCAGAACAGGAAAAATGGGTAATAAGCCATTTTACTAACTGTGCTCTATTGATAGTTTTTCCTAAATTAGAGCCTGAAATTAGAGATTCATTCATGCTCAAACACTGTTCAGCATTCAAAACTTACTCGTGTCCTACATCTTCTGAACCTAAGGGTCTAGAGTCCATGAAGAGAGAGACCTTGCTTGACGCCATCTTAACATCAATGGCTGAATGTGTGGAGATGAGGCTCTGAACTAGTTCGTGATTTGGTCTCAAATCCTCCTGGAAAGCCAAGATTTTTTACTTTTCAATTAAAATGAATAAACAAATGTCTAATGAACAGCTAACAGAGTCATTAATCTGCCTAAAACAGCAGAAATATGCATATGCAAGAAAAAAATTCCAAAGCATTTTAAATAAACATTTTCTCAGAACATCAAGGTCTCCCTTCCCCTCTTCACATTTCAAGAACGCCTACAACATTAACCCAAAAAATATTAAAGAGGGTCTCCTTCACAGGATGCAACCACTACAGTAAATATCAGCAAGCACACATTACCGCAGACAAAAACGTATTTAACATTTAGCACAATACAGGGGAAAACAGCTGAATTCAATCTGTTTGTGTGGAAATGTTTTCCACCTCTCCCTTTGACCAGTCATATCCTCTAAGTGTTCTCCCACAATCACCCTGCCCTGCAAAGTAAGAGTGATAATATGCCAGTACCAGGAGTTTTTATAAAATCTTAAGTGAGTGAGTGGAAAGTTTACGAAACTAACTTTAGGTACTTATTAACTGATCCTTCAAATGTTTTGCACATTATTTTACACAGAGGTAATAGAAATATCCCTCCTCTGAAATCACTAGAGGAGAAGCAGAAATATATATATAAGCATTGATTATTTTAAAGAACCTTAAACACTTTTTTTGACTGTAAGGATAAAAACTATGTTTTGCAAGAGAATTCAAATCACCAACAGCATTCCCTTACCTCTTCTTTTTCATGAGCATGGCTTCCACCAAGGTCAATATAAACAGCATCTTTATCATACACAATGCCCCCAACTCCTGAAAAAGGGGCATAGACTAGTTTCTCTTTCTCATTTAAAGAACGTTTCTTCTGCTGTTCAGGTAGAGCACAGGGGTCTGGTAGGAAACTCACATCACTCACAGTAAAGTCTCCTACACCTGGGGTAACAGACAAGGGAAGCAATAAAGTTTTCACAAAGTTTTGATTCTGAAATTTCTACAATTCAGAGAAAAAAAAAATACTGTAGCATTAAGTGATTCATCAACAGTGAGCTCTGTATCAAACATCCAATTCTTCTGCCTCACCATTGAACTTAGAGACGCATACGTAAGTTCACCAGAATACTGCAAAGCTTTGGGTTTGTTTGCTTGTTTTTAAATGAGAAAACTAGCAACTCACTTTTCTGAGCAATTTTGTAAATTTATTACTAAAATATTTCTGAATTTAAGCTTTCTAATAATTCATTTGAAATATTACATTTATTCAATGAATATGAGAAATTTCACATAAACCAAATTTACGTTTCACTGTCAGGGCTGGGATGTTTTGCACTTCAAGCATCTTTTAAAGCGAAAACACCTTTGAAAAACGTCAGACACTGTCAATATTGTGTTTAACCCTGCAACAAAACTGCACAATTAAAAGCAAAACTATTTTCACGGATTTATTTTTACAAAAACATGTATTATGAAAAATAATTTCTAAAAGCGTAACATGTCTTTAGAAAGGTGAAAAATCTATTTTACAAGTGTACAGTTTAAAGATGAAAAACATTCTACAATAAAAATAGGAAGAGCTATGTTGTTATTCATAGATCAGTACAAAAGCAGTTTTAAGAATCTGATAAATTACCTGGCATATGAATTTGACTTTTGTTTTTCAGGTGTGCTCCCCTCAAGTATCCATAAAGTGATATCTTCCTATCACATTTGGGATTGATTCGAACATCTTCTGGGTTTGTCAACTCTTCCATTCTACCCAACATTAAAAAAAAAAAAAGTTAGAATATCCAGCAGTCCTAGTAGTAACTTTTGAAAAAAGATAATTTAAGAAAAGAGAATTGCAACATCACTGCTGCCACTGCTCACTCTGCAGACTCTAATAATCAAACTGGAATGATCATAAGAAAAAAATCCATGGAAAAAAAAATCTTTCAAATATATCTTAAAATTGTATTTTAAGACTTGTATAATTGTGTTCAACAATTCATTTCCAGAAGACTTATTGACAGTTTACTAGACACGTACTGCTTTCTTAGCACATTTTAATTACTGTTTATATGCTTTCCACACACAACCCTCCTCAAATCAATTTTGCCATTAGAGGGAAAACCAAATAACCACCCTAAGACAGCTGAAAGACACATTCCCTTCTTTTCCCTAATAATGGTGGTGAGGAACACAAAAACTACCGTCTATGCTGAGATTGAAGAACAGAGAGAAAAGCACACACCTGTCTGCGAGAACGTAGGGGTGAGACGTTTGCCAAGTAAGAGGTCGAAATTTCATAACTGAGATAAAACGCCCCAGATTGTGAATTTCCTGCTTTTGATATTCTCCATGAACCATCCCAGACAGATAAAACAGCTTAGCACCCTAAACAAATTAAAAAGACATAAAAACATTAAACATCAATTTAATGCCTACAAAACTAAAAAAAGCTAATGCAGTTCTAATTTGTAAATCATAATCAGAAATTGAAGGTTACAACTGGTTGCAAAAAATCAGACTAACTAGTTTACTTCAACATGAATATTGCCCCCTACATCTTAGGGGAAAACAATTCACATCCAGAAAACCTCATACAAAGGTTAATTTGTCTATCAGACCTACAAGCATAGCACCTGCATAACAGACCGTTTTACTAGTATCACATGTTTAGTAGCTAGTCACACTGGGATAGAGAATAATTACACAAGTATTTTAGCAAATAGAAGATAGATTACGTGATCTGATACATGAGCATTGCCCATTTATAGCATTATTTAAAAGATAGAATAAGATAATAAATACTTAAGTATTGGCCCACTTTTAATTAAGGTTCCATAATGCAAAATATACAGAAAATCGAACGTTGAATGTCATACCGGATACACTTCAGTCCAGAATCTGTGCTTTAACTTCTTTTTAGTCTTCTTTAATTGTTTGTTGTTCTTGAATGTATCCAGGTGGGTAAGAACTCCCATAATTTTGGGAAAGCCATGTACCTGACAAATGTTCAGGAATTCAAATGTTTCCATCTCAAATCCAAAGCTGGCATCAATAAGCATTAGAACCTGGAAACACAACATCAGCATTTCACTATAACAATACCACAGTGCCCACACGAGCTAATTTCATAGACGACACCTTTGAAGTCATAAGCTTCTTGGGAACCAAAATCTTCCAAAAAATGTTGTTCTTTGTTTCCATATAACCCAAAAATCAACTTTGGCTTTTTAATTAAAGCATGGATCTTCACTGCTTTAGAAGTTAGTGGGGCTTAGGAAATGAAGTCTCCTCTATATAGATTTGATTTGCTCATTGTCTCCAAGAAAACTATGGAAGAATAAGGTTGCTCTATGAATGCAGTAATACACAGTACCATAATAAGGTCTTAATAGGTGTTTACGTGGTGAACTTAAAACTGAGTATCTTCCAATATTTGCAGCAATGTCTTCGAGAAAATTAATGACATTTTTATATCTGTGTCTTGGATGCACTAATGCCTCTAAGGCCAAGTCTTTCAGCAAAATGAGACAAACTTGCTTCACACATTGCAATTACTGGTATGCATCACTAAAACACATTGACACAGGAAAACAGCACCCAACAATCACATGAAAATGGAAGGGGAGTCGTATTAGGACCTCAGCAATTAAGAATTTAAAACGCATGGAAACTGATGACAAGAGATCTGCAAGCAATTATGTAATCCTGGCCTCCTGACAATAAAACCAAATAGATTGTCAGCATCAGCATGTGCATGCAGAATCTCAAACTTCTATCACATCTACTAACAGAAAATTTTCATTTTTTTTAATCTATCTCCCTTCCTCAAGCAGAAAACACGCAAGTAGAGCAATAACTGGATTAGTGCACACATGTATTTAGATAATTAATATTTAGAGAAGGATCCCAAACCCTAATCAGCTATGAATAATATACTCCAAATCCACATGGAAAGTAAAATTCTAAACAGACAAATGGGTCGTGCATTAGGTTCCCAAGATCAGTTGACGTAATCCACTGAACCAAAAGTTACAAGTAAATTACAATGGTGACCACACTCCACTGAAATCAATCGTATTACTACACAGCGATCTTCAAAGATACAGATGTCAGACTGCATCAAATAAAACCAACTAGTGAACTAATATGTATTTCTACTTTATACATTAGTTGAAAACTTCTTGACTAAAAACCATTTTCAGATTTTACACTGTTTGACCAAACCCCTTAATGAAGTCACTTCATCGCCTTGCCTGGCTAGATCTTCCACCAAAAGTTTACCAATTGCATTAGCAATGAAGTTCAATTGCAATTGCATTTCCCTTCTTCTACATCCTCCTCACCACCACACACACGCACACACACACACACACTTTATTTTCCCCCCAGCCTCAGGATAAGGGAAGTCCTAGGGTTGTCCCAGAATACTGGGTTTATTGTCAAGCTTAGTCCTGTTCCCTCTGAAACCAGACAGTTCTGCCTTTGATGGCAATGGGTAGAGAAATTGGACATTGGTGCTGTCCAGTCAAGAGTAGTATTTTCAATATAAATTATAGTAGACATCATGTGCCGTTGTTAACTTACCAAATCAGCAACTTTAGCCAGGTCAATCATTGTGTTAATGTCACATCCACATTCAATAATAGTTAGCCTGCGTTTTTTACCTAAAAGCAGAATGAAAATTTCAAAAACTGAAACAGAGGGAGCAAACTAATTAGTCCACTGATTTCTTTGCAGGTCACATTCCTGAAGTTCCTAAAGAGTATCTGGGAACTCAAATTCTTGTCTAGCATATAGATCGTCCAACATGCACCAGTGCAGAAATGCCTTTTTTCAAAAGTTTATAGCTCTGCTAAATTTTAACTTTTTGTTTAAAATTATCAGGTGGAGTAAAACAACAAAGGAATTGTTCAGCCTTTTCCAAAAATAATGCTAATAAAAAATAAACAATATTTTTGCTTTTTTACTTTGTAAAAAAAGAATCTGTTTCTTTTACCTCTAGTGTTGGGGTTCTTTTTACCACACAGTTTTGTTCTTTTGATATTATCAGAAAAAATACACTGTTCTAGCTCTTAAAAAAAAAAAAAAGTAGATTTACGTATCAGAAAATTTCATAACATGCATCCAAATGAGAAAAAAGTATTGGCTTGACTAACTTGAGTTAGCTAACTGAACTTTAGACAACAGGAGTAGCAACTTCAAACAGCTATAGACAACAGACTAAGACAAGTGGAAGCTGGGAATAAAAACTTAACTAAAAGTAAAAGGAACTGGCATGAGGATGAGGCAGAGAAACATAACTGGAAATGGCTAGGCAAATTCATTCTTGGCTTAAGAAAGGAACACAGAAACAGGATTATGGGACAGGGAACCTGAAAGAATGGGGAATGCGTGTAGAGGTTTGGATGAAAGCAGAGAAAAACAGTTCAAAAGAGAAAACAAAACCCAGTGGAAAAGGAAAACTTGGGAAAAGTTTGGGGACAGAAGAAACTAGGAAAAAAAAAGCCAGAAAGGAAAAAAGAACAAACAGAACTGGGATCCCAGCAGGGTGGAAAACAAGTCTAGAGGGACAAGTCCCCTAAAAGCCCAAATCTCATTATTCTTCTACTGTTAGTAAACATGCCTGGTAACATATCCAAAGGATTTCTTAAAAATGACCAAAAATTATGAGAACACAAACATGTCCTAGATCTAAAAGCAAGACAAACAAGGAGTGTGAAACAAGCACTTCCATTTCTCACATCTTTGTTCTCACCTGAAACAATTGTAACAGGACCCCGGATTTCAACCAGTTTTTGCCTTGTGAAGTTCTTAATGAGGCATTTTATTACGGTGCTCTTCCCAACCTTGGGAGGGCCAACTACAACCACCACCACAGGAGGTGGCTCCAAAGGAGTACGGTCAACCACAGGAATGTGATGTTTTTTAGTCTTCAAATCCTGAGTTCTGAGAAGAAATTTATAGTAAATAAATACAAGAACTTAAAAAACTATAACATTTATTCTTTGAAAGTCTCCAGTATTGGCAAAAGCTTGGACACAAACATTCACCAAGAGCCCAGACACCAATATGTACGTAGAACTCCCACCAAATCTACGGAGCTATACACATTTTTTTCCCATTAAGACTAACACAGCTGTACCACACTACACAGATGCAGAAAACATCACACTGCTGACACATGCATAAACTACCATGTGACAAGGTGAACAACAAAAGCTACATGAGCGTGGCAGTGAAAATTACACCGTGACTATTTCTACACAAAGTAACAAGAAACCTCAGCCAGCTCCTATTTGTCCAGCCAACCCTGCATGCTCAATTCCTGTTTCTTACCTATGGAAAGTTCTGGCCATCCGCACGGCAGACTGGACCGTAAAGGCTTTGGGGTTTCTCTTCCGTGCATTCTCCTCATCTCCTAGCCCTAGGTCATTGAGGTAACGTTTCCTTTTCTTTTCTGCCTTTGGCCCACTATGCTTTGCACGATGCTTCTTCTTCTCTTTTTCCTCCATCTTACTCTTTCAACAACTGCTTACAATCAGTACGATGTGGATTGCTTCTGCGTGATACTGCGTGCAGCTGGCACAGGAAGAAAACGCAGTTAGCACACACGACAGCATACGCGTAGAGCATACCTGCGAGAGAACAGCAGCACCGCCTAAACACCCCTCGGCCATCTGCAAGAACAGCTAACTTATACCAAAAGCGCCGCGGCCCACCCAGCACAAAGCAGCACTCCCGGCTGACCCCGAGCCCCGTGCGCTGGCCGGGGACACCACGGTCGCAGGCTCCGGCCCAGGCCGGGCTCCGGGCC